AAGGAATCATTACTATAACCTYGGGCTATCCACAGTCACTTAAATCATTCAGATCCTGGATCATTCAGACGGTTAATGTGTTACTGTTTTAGACATGCCACTAATTTATACAAGATTAATGTGGATTGTTGAAGAATTCAATTCGCTCCAAGTGTTTTCAACACACTGTAAGAAAGAATAYTGATTGTAGAAGCAATGAATTTCAAAATGATGGGGCTACTCTATTCTTTATCCTATTTTAGATTATAACATGTCAATTTATCAAGAAAATACACCAGTTTGCACAAATTACTCCCTCTTTGGTGGGAAAATAGAGGAAGGATTTATTCTTTCCCCAAGCCTTACCTTAGTTTTTTTTTAAGGATTATACAGTTTATGTTATTTCACTTGATTATCAAGTTATAGCTTTGCCAAACAATATATTCACTTTTGGGAACACTGCAGTAAACAAGGACCATTTATTCACCCTATTTGATCATTTCTGCCAAGTCTACTTCATTATCTCAGTCCTAGAAAAAAATAGGGACAAGTTTTAAAATTATCWACTTCTTTCTGAAGTAAAACACCCCAATAATGAAGTATCATGGATTTTACACACTGGGTCACATGCATCAGTCTRTATATTCAGAGCACATTTTAAAAAATTGATCTGCTTTGAAATGAACAATATTTACATGTTCTTTCCAGAAAATTACTAGAAGCTGATCTGTAGTTAAAAAAAATCCCATTTATTGGCAAAGTGATGTGCACTGTTGAGGTACTTTGCACTGGAGTAGTTCACTTACTGCAAAAGTAAATGAACAAATAAGATAATACCTGGGGAATATATTTTTTTAATTTCTGCATTTGCACAGGCACTCCTCTGTCCAAGTCGTTGGTAAAATATGGAGTAAACGGAAATTATAAAATTYGTGAACATTTTAGTAAAACTATCCCAACAGAAACACCCTTTTTGAGTARCTAAATAGAAATCACATGCTTTGAAAACAGGGACATCATTAAAGAAAAACAATCCCAGTAAAACYATAAGCATTAGGGGAACAGCGATTATTCCCCACTGGAATGTGCAGTTACAGTTCTGCTCCTGCTGAGGTCACAATTGCTGCTCTCCAGAGTTTGGTGGTTGTATTTACCTTCCTGTCATTAATTCTCAGACCGCCTTCAGATGGGACAGTGAAAGAAAAGCCCATTCCTATGTGCAACATGACGGCTACACTGATTCTCCACTTTGGGGAAGAATTCGTAATCTAATGCAAGTGATCCCAAATGAGAATTAATTCTCATGAACACTGCATATTCTAAGAAAGGCCATGGGATCTTCAAATCCAGCAGCTGCTCCCCTGGACTATTTTAGCCTATGCTGACAAATAAAAGCTGTTAATCAGAAAAGATTGCTGAACTGGCCTGACTGTCTTGTATTAATTTTCCTTRCAGTTGTGTTGAAAATTACATGTAACTCCAAAGTAACATAATTTTCTTTACTTTTTCTGATGTAACTATCTCATACAGCTGATTTAGAGTGATTAAAGGAGGTGGTATATTATCTCCAGACATAGCTGGGTGATTTGATAATTAGGAGATTTCATACTACTTTGAAAAAAGAAAGGAGATTCTGATAAAAGCCCCAGGAATTCGCTCCTTTCTGGAAGCTTGTGTGTTAACAACTCACACACAAATATAGTTTGAAAATTCTAGCACTATACCAACCCAAAAATGAGCAATGAATTTTCCTGAGTGAGTCTGAGAAGAGGCAAAATTAAAACAAAAGCTTAAAATGTTGTAGGCAGCATTTAAATCTATTACCAATGAGTAAAGTAGAGATGTGAATGAGGCTTAACTGCAGAAATCTTAAAAACAAACAAACAAACAAACAAAAAATCTGTTCAGCTTATAAACAGTCATGAAGAGCTGGTAGGGAGCTCAGTTCAGAGCTGTGGAGAGGAATTTTTTTTCTGCGTTGCACAATTATTGGCAGCACTTGAAAATTTCATCCAGTTTGTTCATTACTTTTATGTGTAGCTTCTAGGACTCAACAGTTTGGAAAAGAACATATACCTGTTTCCTACAGGACAAAGCAAGGCAAAGTTATTTTTTTTTTGTATCTTAGAAGTGATTGTCGTTTTGGTTTTCAGTATTTGACCACTGAGGCGAGAGGAAGAGAGAAGCATAAAAATAGAGTCAGTAGAGCCTGTGCAGAGGGAATAGTACAGACTACAGAAACAGCGAGCTCCCACCAGCCATGAATTTTGGACGGTTTTGGCAGCTTCTGCGTTTCCCCTCATGCTTGAGAACATTTCAAAGACAGGATTACAAAAGAAGACATCACATGTTCGGTTCGAAACTGTAACTGGGCTGCGGGGAGAGGGAAGGGGCAGGTCCAGAGGCAGCGCACGCTGTGCTGAGGACTCTTCAAAGGCTTCSCTTTGCAGCTCCGTGCGCAGGTGAGGATCAGAGCCCGGCACACGAGTCACCGCCTCCCCGTTTAGACAATAAGGAGCGGGATTAGTTCACCTGAGACTGCTTCAGCAACCCGTGCCTCTGACCTAAATACCACAGTTAAGCAACAGGATTTTGTGAAYGTAGGACTTGAGGCAGGAACCGGACTGATACAAACCTGGCACTGGGCAGCCTTTGCTCTGACCAAGTGCTTTACAAACACGCAGCTGCTGTCTTGCACCTATGAATTATGAATTTCTCAATATATTCAACAGTAAGSGTGTCACATACCACAAATCTGAGGTCACAGAAAAGACCAAAGTAGTATCACCTCCTTAAAGCAATAATTAGCATGACTAAACAGCAGCATTAAACCTCCTACTCTTTTGCTTTTCCTCTGGGAGGTTTTTCTTGGCTAGAAACTCCTGCTACATACTGATGTTCACCTTGTCCTTACCCAGTGGCATGCCTAGAGTGCAGAAAAGAAAGTACTCAAAAAAAAACCTAAACCCCTAAATAAATGAGACTTGGCAAYAACAAAATGCTCAAATCCATGCCTTTACAACTATTCAAGATTTTAAATCTTTGCATTGATAATTACTTCCCGCTGTTTAAAATTTCATTTCTCTCAGGGAAGCAGAAAAGGGAGGAGAAGAAAACTACCACTGTTTGGATACTCCTTTTGCTGAGCCTATCATCATCCTTAATAGCCTCTAATGAAAACTCACTCAGGGATAAACATGCTACCATTATTTTGTCAGCAGAGTCAGTATGATTCAGAAGAGAGTAGTCATATGACTGTCACAGCTCCCAAATTGTCAAAAACTGTGGGGAAACAAAAATTAGCAGCTGAGAGAGAAGGCTTAACTTTCACTACTATGAACAACTGAGCAGCCTTGTGGTTGGTGTGAAATATACACATAGACAAACTTAAARAGGAAATATCACTGTCCAACAGAAACCACTCTAGAGCAGACAGGTTTATTTTGCCTGAGAGGCCTTAGAATGACAGAGAAAAATCACTATAAGTTAATCTATTTATTACACTCACTTGGCCAGAAAAAACATAATTCTTTGACACACAATCCCTCTTCTTAGGGTTTTATATTATACTGACTTTAAAAGTGCTAAGATAGAAATAAAAGTGCATCCAGGTGTGACAGCTCATACTCCCTATGCCAGATTTCCCTTTTGCATCCCAGTCTTTTGAAACGTGATAAAAGAGTCATTASAAAGTAAATGTCTGCACATGTTACACTGCCATGGCCAGAAGACTGGAACCATTCCYATATATGTCAGAAACCACTGACATCTGCTAGTTTTCAGAAATCAAAACTATTRGGGTCAAGACAAGTTGATGCTGGATGTAATTTTACTGCCCTATCAAAGGCCCCTTTGTGTGAGTTTGTGTGACAGGGTTCTCCAGCTCTGGAGGAAGGAATGTTTACCAGCGAGCAGCGGGCTGRGGAGATTATCACATGCTGAGAAGCAGCATGTGAAAGTCTCCCAGGACTGGYAAGCTCTGGAGCAGTTGTTCTGTTAAATCCACCAGAACTGATGAATTCAGAACACCGGGAGCCTGCTGGCTGTGCACAAAGCCAATACCCACATTAGTACCAACCACGGGTTGCATTAACTTGGAACATGCACAAAGAGGTAGTGGTTGCTACATGCAAACAAAAAACCCTRCAAGTTTACATACACACACCTGACAAAGCAAAGGGCTCTTCAAAGGACTTTCTAACCTGCTTAGGAGCCAGAGGTCCCAGGGTGGGGACTGGCTGCCAAGCTGTTATGCCTACAGAGTAGTTACRAGCATTAGACTAAATGAATGTATTGTGTGAATAGTTATCTGCTATTAGTAACAGCTTTAGTAGCAAAAAGCCTTCTGTTCCTCGTGATGTCTGTGTCTCCCAATCTGATCTACTATCATGGAAAGGAGAATTTATTTACCGAATCAAACATCAAACTATTTTATTGATTATTTCTTGGTGATACCAATTCCCCACTTACTAGTACTGCTGCTGCCACTGATTTAATTTCTCAAATGACTTGCTCACAAAAGTTCTTGTAAATACCACTTGATGCAAGATTTCACTTCCAAGACGTTCTTGGAAGTCCAGAAAAYGGGATTCCAATTGTTCATTGACAGAAACACAGCCAACTTTACCATTTTTCTAGTTCATGCAATTTAGACCTCTCATTTGATCACCAGCATGTAGAGACCTTAATCACCACAAGAGACCAAAAATAGTGAACACCTTTGGTTGCTTTTACTTCTGAAAGGCAAGTTCAGGAAAGCAAATACCTCTAAAAAAATTGCTGCTGCTGCCATTTGAAGATAAGATTCTAGMCAGCCTGAATCTTTGTTAATGCTTGCTCCATTTTTCCATTATTCCTGGCCAAAAAACACACACAACAACAGAAACCTTTCAAGTATTTCCAGAAGACCTTTAGATTCTGGCACATGAAAGCATGAAGGTACACCTACCAATTACATCACTGCCACTGAAAGTTGTACGGYTTCATGCATTAGTAGTCAGGTGGAGAACTACTCCTAGGAATCTTARAGCTGTTAGGAAATGATCTCATCTGATGATTTACAAACTAAGAATGCATGCCTCAGGAAAGTCTCTTTAGTAGGAACACGATGTTACTATTTTACTCAAATMATTTCACTGCTACAGCTCTGTGATTTCACTGTTTGGTTCTTTAAAGTAACAAYTCCATGGAATTAGAAACTGGCAACATTTGTGCTTAGCAGCTTCTGTTCATTTGTCCCACTCTGTTAGTTCAATAAAGGGATGTGAACACAAATRGAAGTTCGTCTTTAAAGACAGACCAACGATGGTCAGTTACAACGKGAGAGAAGGCTGCTACAGTACTGCTGACAAAAATCAACTGCCGGACTGTTTACATTGCTTTGCAAAATCTCCTTCAAGTGCTCGGAGCTGAAGGGTAGCTTTGTTGCTCTGAAGGTTTCTGCTTACATGGCTTAGCAAGGTCTTGCCCTTAGCTGCAAGCTACAGGATTACACTTTGAGATTTTTCACTTCATTTAAGCGCTTATAATCAGGAACTTCTGGAAATTCCTGTGACAACTGACTGCCAAGCCCTGACAATGACTACTTAAGCTTTCACTACTGCTTGAACACAACTGTGGCTTAACAAAGAAAGAATTGTAAAAAACCCTCAACTTTCCCATCCACTAAATACTTAGTTTCAAATACCCATGACTATTTTTAAAGACATTCTTGACAACTTAATGGAGGAGTTCCCTTCTCTRTAGCTAAAAAGGAGCCATGCAATACTTTGAGTATCAAAAGTGAAGCTACATCACTAAGCTGGGTTGAGCTTACAAAGCTCAGTTCTCTCATTTACTGTTTTTCTAGCCCGTGTTTTGCATTTAATGTGCATCAGTTCACTCCTGTTACCAGTATGAGAAGATGCCTTGGACTGAAAAACATCACCACTTAATGCTTCTAGAGGACACACATACAGAATGTGAACCTTCTCCTGAGGAAAAAAAAAAAAAAATCTGAAACATCAGTATTCCTTTGAGTCAAAGAATATCTTCCACTTTTCCTGACAGACTTTTATGGTCAGAGAGAGTTCACACTGGAGATGTCAACTATTAACTCTGTTTGCAGAGGAAATGAATAGCAAAACTCTGACAACTTCAGAAAAATTGTGAAAAGCAATAGGAATGTTTTATTTACATAAAGCAGAGATAAAGGAAGCAAATTATTGTGATTTAAGATTTTCTAACCTTTCTGCCCCTCATGAAGCTAATGGGAAAAAATTGATTAAGAATTACCATCTCAGCAAGTAGTACTGGCCATTCTCTGCCTGGAAGYACAAGCAGTATCTTGCTCAAGCCAGCAAAGGGAGGAACAGAAACGTTGCCCAATATTATTTAAACTATTTGAGATAGGCCAAAACCACTGAGCACCTAGTATCAGCAGACAATCATTTGACTCAGGGATTGAGCAAGCTAATCTTCTGACACTGAAGCTAGGTTAACATCCAAGCAAGGAGTTTCCTCCAGGATCTACCAGTGAGATCAGCCCTATCTCTAAATTGTGTGGGAGTAGACCTGTCAAACCTGAAGCAGCTTTAGTATGCAGTGAATCTTCATGAGGTCTTGAAATCTGGTTAAGAGGCCTGATCTGSTTCTCCACCTCCAATAAATACTCCATAAATCTGAGGGTGGACTCYGGAAGACAGGGCTGAAAGGTACAAAGTTTTCTTCCTCACATGGTATCACTATAAGTTAAAAGGTTTGACATGTCATGAAGATAAACTGCCTCCTCTTAGCATTTGTGAAACTCCACATTCAAATTAAGAATTACAATTGGTTGTATAACCTAGATCCTTTCTATACCTGTCTTAAGATTTCTAAAAAAAGCTTACATTTTAAATGTATAAATAGGCATGTTTCCAGTTCAATAGCATTATTTTAAAGAGTACACACTTAATAATTYATTTTTCTAAAAGAATTCTTTTATACTCCAATAATTATGATTATTGGAGTAGGAATTATTAGAAATACCTTAAAAATATATTTTCAAAATCTGTTACAAAATAATGACTCAATCTTTAACGTTAAATTCTTGCCAAAGTTATCAATCAGAATACCAGCATTCATCTGTAGAAACAACACAGAAATGCTATAGAATACAAAGCAATACAAGTACCCATGAAAATATAAATATTATTTMATAGTGTAATTTTAATTAAATTCAAAATAAATTTAGTTAATAGTTTCTAAGACTTGCTCAATTTGCACATAATCATATCTGAACTCAGTTGAGCTTCAGCTATTTTCAAAGCAATTTTCTGGTAAAGGGCACCGTTCAATGTTTGGTTCATACTTTGCACACTCTCTTCCTGCTCATTCTGAAACTTCTTCCTGAATTGCTGGACTCCTTCCACAGTGTCCAGTAAAGAAGCCAGAGGAGCATTACTGATTTCTTTGCCAGCCTCATTCCCCCATGTCAAGCTGTTTTCAGCTTTAGTTTCTTTTAAGAAAAGAGAATTCTTCAAGGTGAGCATTTCCTTTTCCAGAGCCAGTGCTAACTGTTCTGTGAGTTCTCCTTTGCTTCCAGATCTCTGGAGTGTTACACTGCAGCTTGGAGGGAGAATTCTGGTAAGGCTGTGAAGGCACTGGAACAAGACAGTCAGATTTCTGTAAAACAAAGTTATGATAGTGTCAAAAAAAATATAGTCGGTAGTTTCCACCTATCACAGAAATATCCCAGTTGGATAAAAGATCCAAGTACAGGAATAAAAGATACAGAAAATACAGTTAGTCCATAAACGTGGGGCTCCCCCCCACAAAATGGGATCAAAAGTTAATAATACCAAGTAAACTAACTTTTCWAAAAGAACCAAAAGTCTTGAGATTTAGAATTTTACTAATTGATTTCTTAAACATTTCAGCCTTTCTTCTTACATAAAGGAAATTAAATCCTAATTTGGGGAAAACACTGARCCTTTCTATAAAATACAGACTCCTAAAGGTTATACCTTTTCTTCTTTCTTTATTTTTAGCTTGATATCTTCAGAAAAGCAACATTTGTCAATATTCCAGAAGTRCTTTTTATGCTATAAGCCTTATCTAGCTAAGTAATAAATTACAGCAGTATTGGTAACTTGCTTAGCCTGGTTTAGAAAATTTTAAAAACATTTGTCCATGAATCTACATAARAAAGGAAATCACTGAGATACTTCAGATTATTTCCTTTTCATAATCATGGTAGATAGGAAATAAATATAGCAGAAACATGAACAAAATGAGACTAAATTTATGTTGCAATACTAAACTAAAAAATTATCTATCAATAAATTTAAATTTAGTATAACTTGGGATTTGTGGTTTGTTTTTTAGTTTTAATATCCTCAAAAGGATGCTTTTTAAATTAACACAAAATGAAGAAAAAAATTACATATTATAGTAAGAATAATGTAATGAAAAAGGAATATAAAATTATGATGCAGCAAAATGAAGAGAAGAAACAGTACCAAGCAGATATTAATGGAGACTAGACTTATTTGTAACTCAGTGTTCTAGCCTGGACAAAATTAAACAATATAGTTCAGGTTCTGCCATAATTCTGATCTGAAAACAGTTCTGTTATTGCTGATTTTTATCATAGCATCATATTGGCAGCCTGTTGGTTATGATTTCAGCTACTGTTTATGAYACCCATAAGAAAGAGCACCAAGATAAAAAAGCAGGTATGGAAGATGAATAAAAGCTATACTTTTCAGTGATTTTACCTGCAAAATATTGTTAGAACTCCTTCAAATGGATTTTTCAGGGTCCAGTTAAAAATGGTACCATAGACATTTCCTGCTTTATGACAGAATATGTTGTCCTGGCATTCCTTAAATGGTGTGCACTCCATTTCTTCCAGTAGCCATGAACGGACTGGAGTCAATGTGCAGTCAGAAGACACAATCTCAAAAGAGAATCTCACTGATACTGCAAGGACAGCAAGAATATCTTCCATGGAACCTGCAAGAAAACACAGTAAAAAGATATTTGACCTCTGTATTTTGACCACGCTTCATGACTTAAATGAGCTTAGATTTTTGGCTCACACACCCAGTTTTCCATGAAGCTTTTGCAACTGACTTCAGACATTCTTTGGGAATTTTATTCTCACCTAAATTCTTATCCCTCCTTTAGTCAAGCAAAATAGTTGATTATTGGAGTACCACCCGTATAATAAAAGCTCTCAAGTCAAACATCACCTTGCCAAAAGAAGGCTATTAATAGCCTCCTGTGATAGTAAGATGACATGTTGGCTTTAGCAATGACAGCATTAAAGGAAGAAAAATTAAAATTCATTGCAAATAATAGGATATTTCATTACCTGAACAAAAGCCCAGTTCAAAATCAATTYAATCAGGAATATTAAAAGAAATGAAAATAAATGACCTCAATATACATGAGGRTGAGGAAGAGCTTAAATTATTTTGGTATTATTTAAGAGGTAGTACTATGTGAGAAAAAAACTCTTATGTATCTATTACAGTAAGCATCTTATTTATAGAAAAAACATCATACAGACATACAACATACAGACTTCATCATTCTGTATTGAAACTTATCTTCAAAATTATCCTTTCCAGATACCGTTCATCACCAATGCTAGCAAAATCTTACAGCAACTCACTGAATACTTCTTTTTATTTTGAAAAAAGTTCCATCTCCAATTCAYCCAGCTTTTAGTTCCCAAAAGGTCTATGCAGCTCATGTTCAGAAAGCCAGATGTGATTACACCTTGAAAACTTATCTTGGCATCGCCTAGAGTAAACAGAAGACTCAAATATAYACATTTATAAATGCAAAGTATATAAATCCATTTACCTGTACAGTAACTATTATCCCTTAGCATCTTCACTGAATATCTGTCATTTGAAAGATCTTCCAGACTTAACAAAATTTTCCCACAGWGTACAGTAATCTTTTTGCTCTGCTSTAAACTGTCCTTCTGGTGGGTTTGCTTCCTGGCATGCAGAAGAACTACGCAGCACACACGATGAAATGCCAGCAGTGGTGAMAGGCTGGTGACAGCAATGACTGCCTTTGCTCCATCCAGCTGAATCCTTGAACATCTCTTAGGAAGCGCTTTTTTCAGATCAATCTTGCTATGCAAGTCCAATTTTATCTTTTTTGGAGGAGGTTCAATTTGATTTGAGGAGACAGCCAGTGCTGAGAAGGCTTTATTCAGCTTAATGATTTTACTTTGACACTTGATAAYTGGAGAAATCGAAGAGAAGTCTTGATCCATCACTAAAGATAAACTGACATCTCTCAGTGACCTGTGAAAAATCCATATAATATGACTGCACTCCCAGTTCATATTTTTACCTTCTGACAAATAACCACAACTCTACAGATTATATAYAGACATTTAAGACTATAATAAATCCCAATACCATTCCAGGTTAAGTCATAGACTTTGCAAAGAGCCTGTCTTTCACATGACTSTTTCATTTAAACTTAGTATACAGATTTTCAAAACGTGGGCTGAGTTTTCAAAGAGCTTCCAGATGTTAAATATCTCATTTCAACCAAAGAATTTGGATGTTTAATTCAGTCAGAATAAGTTGAAAATTCTACACAACCTATACAGATACTCTGTGACATTTATAAATTATTTTTCAAAGATTTAACTTTCTTTTAAATAAAAAATTGCAGCAAGTATCAACTCTGCCCTTTCGAGGTCTAAAAGCTCTTCTGATGCTCAATATTTTTACAGATATTCAAACAAAATTGAAAGTAGAGCAAAATAAAAGGTTTAAGATACCATTACCTTGAACATGCAGCAATTTCCWGAAATGTATGAAGTATTTTATTTATTCAACACAGGGTTTTTWCAATGAAATCCTAACATTAATGTTTCAGATCCTCTCTCATGAATATATTATTCTGTCAATCAATTCAATCTCAAGATGTCACTGACATTTTAAAGTCTTWTGAATGTCTAATTTTCTTTACAGAGAAGTATCACCACCTTATAAATGCAATCTATGATATCACTGCAATCTTGCATTAGTAGGAAGCACAAAAGTAAAGAATTACAGTGCTGGGGATGGAAGGAAAGCAAGCCCTTTTTCCCACAAACACAGGTTGCTGTACACAGTACTGAACTGGAGCCCAGAAGACCCAGGTTCTGCTGCTGGCCTGCCAGGTAACCTTGGTCAATTGGCTTTTCCAAAGATCCTTTCTCAACTGTAAAAATGAGGGAGAAGGCTAGCTTACTGCTGGTTTTTTAAATCTTCTGAAGGTCTCTGAAGCTACATGGGAATGAAGCATTTCTCTTTTAAAATAACCCAAAGGCATTACCATCAAAGCTAAAAGAACAAACACTAAAATGGCAAAAAAACAATCTCTTGCCTCAGTAGCTCTTAAGAGAGGCTGTCAAGAGGATGAGGTCAACTCTTTTGTAAAGTTACAGCAATCTGGCAGTTGAGAAAGAATATACCCACAGCTCCAGCAGAAYGGCCAGAGGGCCTAACAGGTCAGTGCCGTCACAACCACCTGAGTGAATTCCAGTGGCATCAGCAGTCTTTGAGCTCAGCCTAACACAGKCTCAGCTACACTGCTTGTGGGAACTTGGGTCAAAAGGTAAGGTCTGACTCCACTGAAGATTGCATTACACAATTCACATTGTAACTTTATGTTTTATGTAATCCTGTTTTCTCAAAATGTGTTTCAAATTAGTTACCTCTCTAAGGGTAAGGGAAAATTACATAAGTAGTATTTACAACTAGAACTGAGTAATTAAAACAAACAAATAAACAATTTAAAAGATGATAATAAAAATAAACAAATTATTTCGAAAGTTTAAATATTGTAYGGCTGATTGTTCCACATAATTTACACATTATACAAGCTTTGCAAATGTTTTGATTAGATACTTGACTAGAAGAGTTTAACTCAAAAGCTAAGTATTTATTTAGTTGACAAGAGAATTTAWTATGTTTTCTTTTGTGCTTCTTGGAGCAAGTTACTTATTAGGAATGGCAAGTTGTCAACAGTAAAGCATCAGGGACTTTATGTATTTATAACATGTACTGATGTCAGCATTGCCATGTCAACATGGGCTATCACAAACACTAACTTTGTCAAAGAAAACTCTATAGTAAAGTGTCCAGTAAAGTTGCAATTAAACCCACACAACTGAGGGTGGGTTTACTGATACCTGGCTGTACAAAGTATTTTTATACACAGTGCTAGAGAGAGATAAACAGCAGAAATAATACTAACAAAGACACATTTGAAACACTTTATATACAGATGTTGAAAATGAGAAAGTGAAAAAATGAGAAAAGAAATTTTACTGCAAAGCTTAACCCACATATTCATTTTCTATAACACTACCAATGAAATTGTTAGATAAATGCATATACTCACAAGTAAAATGATTCAGTTAGCTTTACTCCAACTACCAGGCTGTCACCCACCACACGCTGCCACAATCCCTCTGTGAAGTGCTCTGGGACTTTAGATGCCAGTGATGTCTCTTTACTAAGAGAATGAGGAGGATTTTCTGCATCATCCCAGAGAGAGACAAGACCTTCCTTACAGAAAAATGTGGGATTTTAGATAAATTAAGTAGAGATATTGGTTCTTTTTATAMTGCATTACTTCATGTTTTACCACAAATGACTGCTGGTAGAGCTTTTTAGAGACATAAAATGAAACATTATATACAAACTAGTTTATTCTCTACAATAAATAGAATTGAATTTTCTTAAAGCACACGATATCATCATGTAAAGTGCAACTTGTTCTCTCTTTGTAAACATCACATGTTGAAATCTTGACCTATCGTACAATTCATTGCTCAAAGAAGACTTAAGGTGCTAGAATTTATCTTATGTTATCACTTTTAATTGCTCAATACATTGTTGTCCAAACYTGGCAAACTTGAAAGGTATCACAACAGTAACTGAAAGGGAGATCAACTCCATTTCAGTTAAATTAGGAGGCTTCTGTTGAGCAACATATTAGGATAAAATTTTCCCAACCTCCACCACCTCCTCAGCCCACAGTACACTCTGGCCCTATTATAAAATCAAGTTTGCTCACACAGTTCTGTGACAGCTCCCTTTTTGGAACACRTCAGATTGCAGACAGATATTCAATATCTAGGCAACTGTGCCAATTAGAACTGTAMACTCCCCTCATGTTTGTCGCTAATTCTGTTGAAGATTACTCCTCCATACCACTCAGTTGTCAGGAGCTAGTGTGCACATCAATTTCAAGTAGAGACAACTAAATTTACTCCTSACTACATTTATTGGCAAATTAAGAAAGTGAACCAAACTTAAAAAGCAGATTAATGAGTTTTGATAGCAGCAACCCCACTGGGTGAAAGAGAGAAGTGGTTGAGGGCAGCACCCTCTACAAATGGCTCAGCAGAATTCAGAAGTGATCCAGCCCATCTTCTGCATTTTACCTCTTTTGCACTTGGTAGAATATGGGTTCTTTCTTCAACAAGATCTATTAATGCTCTGCAAGACTCAAGAATAACCCTCTTTTGGAGRCCTAAATGCTGCTGTAGCTCTCGAACAGAAGTCCAACCAGCCTGTAAAAGATAATCATTTGACTTAGGTCTACTGCACATAAGAAAGGACATTGAAGCTATCAAAATATCTTTTCAGCTTCCCATTTGTATGCAAGTATCACAAGTAACGTTTCTAAAAAATGGTCAAGTCAGGCTACTCTGTTCCCAAAACGTGAATCTCAGAATCTTGGTCTTTCAGTATTAAACCTGGAGTTTAAGATAAATATTTACAGTAAACTTTATCCAATTATGTAGATATTGACCTATATTGTTGCAGCTATCTTTCCCTATTAATCTTGCTTCACTTTTTCATGAATAGCAGTTTCATTTTCTCCTCAAGATTTATATTGATTATTGGTGAAATGAATATATTGAAGAGATGACAGATTTACAAACAGACACACGTTGTCCATGTCTCAGTTACACAAAACATAACAAAAAAATGCCACAAAAAAAAACCAACCAGAACAAACTAACCAAAAAAATCCACAAACCAAACAAAATAAAGAAGAAAATCACACCAGCTCCTCAGGTTTTAAGAAAGCTCCTCCTCAAAAACTATTCTCTGGAGAGCAAGATCCTGAGAAGTCCAGTGCTGCCAAACTCATCCCGGAATTCAAAATCAAACTTTCCTCTTCCCCATCCCCTTGGAAAACCCCCCAAAACACATAACACACATAACATCATAAACCTTATAAAAAAMCACATAAGCCTGAATAAAAAAGCAGTTCTTGTTAAGTGAAGTGACATCCTCTGCTCAAGCTGCAGTGGCAAAGGATATTTAGACCAGCAGCACTCTCATGAAAAGTTCTGTAAAAAAAAGTCACTTATCAAACTATGAATCTAAGCACCTGATTCTAAGCAATAACACAGCACCATGCTTGAGTCAGGACACAAAAAGGAAGAGTTAAGAACAAATATGGGTCTACAATACCTTCCTAATTTATGTCATCAGAAAACTAAACCATCATTTACTCCCATTGGAGCCAACTCCTGAATAAACTGAAAAGCAGAAAGCAAATGGGGAATCATAGACATGGAAGCGGTCAAAATGGCCAAAAATTCACTGTTGTATGCTTGCTGACCAATCTCATTTTTGTAAGTCCACTTTCCTCATAAGCAACACAAGGAGACCTGAAATTTACCACATGGCAAACCCAAGACTGAGTTGTGCCCCTTTCAACTCTCTCTGTCACAAGTGATAGGCACATCCTTTTCTATATGGCAAGATGTACTGCACTACAAAGCATCWGCAGGAGTTCCAAGTTCTGTGCTGTGAGACTAAGAAAATAAAACTAGATCACCTTAGAACAGAAAATAAACATGACCATAGAAACATGGCAGTCCAGAGCCAAAGACAATAGAGCTGTGAGTAAATCCAGAATTATAGTCCTTACAAAACTGTCAAGTATTGGGAGGAGAACAGATGAGTGGACATTTCTTTATTTCTGCCAAAATAACCAACTAAAACCTTGAGAAACCCTKTAACCTCAGCTGCTGCAATGTAACTGCAGTATGCTGCCAAAGGATGTCTTCCTCAGAAGATAACAAAACACATGTTAAAGTGAAAAAAATCTTCAATGGAGAAAAGGCTGGATTCAGACCCAAAAGAGTGTATAGTATATACTATACAAAAATAAACAGTTCAAAAATACACAAACTGATTTTTCAGTTTCACTACCTGAAATTATAAATTATAAATTGCAAAACGCAATTTATATATATTACTGTGTTTAACTAAAATGCAACTTATACAGTGGACTGTAATTCATTCCTGCCAAGTTCTCACATAGCTAAGAAAACAGCTGTGCAGATTTGAAGCAAGGGTTAAGCAACAAGGATAAAAAAGGGCTGCATCTGCTATTTCATTTTGCTCCAAAGCACAAGATTCCATGGAGACTGCAAAAACATGATTGGATTGCAAATTTCTGGAATACCTGAATTTTGATGATAAGTATCAAGAGGCACCACTCCAAGACTACATAACCTTTGGAAATTCCCAAGCTAAGCAGAACCCATGCACTATTGCTTCAAAACAAGCATCCTTGAAATTCAATTATACATCAAATTATAAAAGTCAGCAAGGGTACTTCACTGTTCAGCAAATATARTACGGAACAATGGGGATTTCAACAAGGAAGCAACAGTAAGGTTGAAAAGAAATATCTGTACCTACTTCTAAATTCATCAGGTTGACAATTTCAAAGATTTACCCCATCAAAGTACAGTAAATTTCTAAATTGCTTACAATGCTTGTGCAGCCACGTGKGTTTGAAAACTAGACACTAAAAAGATCCAAAAGTACAAAATAACTTAGGTCTTATGAAGGAGTCTGTAAGAACTATATCAGCACATGATAGATAAAATATTCAGCCAGAGGCTTGTTTCCAGAAGAACCAGTTGAAAGTGAAAACCAGATTATTCATTTGATCCTGACACAGATTTGCAGAGCTACTGGAAGCTGGTTGGTGTATTGATAGAACAAAGTTATGGARCATAGAACATACAGCTGTCAATGGTAGAGTGGAATCATGGAAGGAGCAGCAGATGAAAGACAGAAACTAATTTCTGCTTTGTAGAAGAGGGAAGCAATGTAATAAGGAGGGCAAGAATGCAGCAGTAAAGTCAATTTTAAAATATGACTGTCAAAAAGATAAAAAATGCAGAAGCAGAAAAAGATGCATTTGGTAGGAAAATAGCACTTCGGCCTAAAGCCAATGGGCCTCTAACATGYAAACTGTRAAAGTGCAAGGTTGGAAGTACCTCWAGAGGTCCTCAAAATTAATCCAGCTTCTATTTCCTTGTGCCRTCCAAGAAGGAAAAAAACACTTTGTCCACTTTTCTCCTAACAGCTTTTATCTTTTGAATGATGCACAATATCTCTTTAGACATCTTGTCTATTATCAGAACTAGACAAGTGTTTTCTTTTGCATTCTTTTCCTCATATGTCCTCCTTCTATTTATTTATTTATTTATTAACTGGCAAACTATTGGCCAGTTAAGAAAAAATTAACAAAATTAATTTGCTTCATTTTTAAAGGTTGGAAATAAAGCTGCCACAATACCCACATAGTTTTCACTAATTATCTCATGACAGGAATAATTACCTCCTACCTCATTGTTAAAGCATCCTTAGCAAACTAACAATAGCCTTGCATCATTGACTCAACATGAGATTTGCATTCTCTGCTAAAGCTTTTTCTTTTTCTAAAATAACCTTCCTATTTTGTCAATTATTACCCATTTGGTATAGGCTAGCATACACACTAGAAAAGCACTTATTGGTGAGTATGYGGGGTGTTTACTAACAGGATKGAAGACAGAAAGGTTGGTAGAACATTAAGTATAAAGAAAGATGTGGATATATTCCCATTGATTACGTAGCTTCTAGAAAGTTTCTCCCAGTTTATTTTATAAATGCTAGTTAAAAGAAGGATACATTTTAGCTATACCTACTTTTCAAAATTATCTTCATAAAACCCCTAGTAACAGGAGCACAAACATCAGAAGGCAATGAAATAACCACAGTCRCCAATTTGTGCAAATGCACTCACTGGGAACCTGCCACTACATGAGCTGAAAATTATGCAATGGGGAGCAAAAGAAATAAACATTCTAATTTTTTTWAGCTGGTATTTAAGCACCTATGAGTAAAATGACTACTAAGAAGCTCTGATAAGATAGCTTCAACATTATCTCAAACTTTTAAATAAAATCAAATTAGACCTCTACAATTACCTAAATGCATTTATAACAATGGAGAGAACTGAGACATACTACCACTGATTCCAGAATAAATACTTAACCATGTTCTCCTTTTCCCTGAACTACTTTTTCAATAAAAACAATATCATTAGCCTCACCCTTCAGAAAATGTAATGATATGGAACAGTAATTTACAGAAAACATGGAGGCAGAACTGTYGAGTACTAACCTGTAATCTTGTTTCAAGGGCTCGGACAGTAAGCAAGCCATTCTCTTGCAATCCTTCTGAAACAGGAAGATCACGTTTATCATTAATATCACTCTGAAAGAAAAAAAACMAAACAAAACCCCTGAATGAATTAAAAATTTGAAAGTAAAGTACGGGCTACTACATAGCATTATAAAAATCTGGGGGAAAATACAGCAAGCCAGCAGAATCACAGTATGCCTTTTAAAAGAAAAAACTTATTTTCTGAAAGCAATCAGAATTTGATAGTACATAATGGAAAGACACAATTATGAGAAGATAATTAACAAGTACTATGGCCTTAATTCATTAAATTAAGAATTGCAAGGTCAAAGGTAAGCATAGTGGCAAAACTATTACATATGTGAAGCATTTTCAACTGCAATAATTTCCCAACTGAACGTTGATACAATCAAGGAAGCAAAATAATGTCTTCAGATAATTTAAGATTACAGCAGGGAATATTGCATTCAAACTTCAGGGCATCTCACAGTACACAGCCAATTTCACTTTGCATCAATACTTTAATGATTTTTTGAGGTTTTCTTAATTTAGTAGGCACAGACTGAGTAGCTGAGAAAAGACAAGCTCAACTTACTGCATAGTTGACCTCTCCAAGATCTGTTATTTTGAATGTACTTAACACGTCTGTATTGGAGTCATCCTTAAAAAGTAGCAACAGCTGCTCACTTCCAGAAGCAATAAAATCATCCACCAGAATGCACTTCACTTTTTGCCATTTGGAAGCCACCTACAGTAGGAGAGGTTTCAAAATACATTTAGTAGCATAAATCCTGTATTTGAGATCTCATTTTTGTTGAAGCTTGCTTTCAATTAARAGGCAGCCTATTCAGGTGGGTGAAATACAGTAATGTTTAGAAGTTTCAAGCTTCACCCCATCATTTAGAATCTATGTAACTCTGGGAAAAATTTTCCTTTTCTCCTTAAAGATCACTTTCCAGATTACAGGTTGCAGAGAAATTGACAACTTTTCAGTGTATTCAAACAGCTGAGTAGCCGAATGTTGTAACGTTTCTTTGGAACCAGTAGTACTTGCAAATTAGTTAAAGACATTATACCGTTGACATTAGGAAGTATCTTTCTTTCATAACAGGCTTAAGTATGTTTGAAAGTTAAGGACAAATTTGTACAATAATTCCAAAATTAATTATTACAATTCTTTTTCCTGAGTAATACACATCTTCCTATTAGATTACTACAAAACCCTAGCAGAACCTTTGTCGCTCCTAACTGTAGGAACCAATAGCAAGGCCTTTGCTTGTCATTTTCATGAAACAACATTTTCTGGAAACAAYTTTTTGTTATTAGGAAATGAAGCTCAAAAAGTTTTTACATTCCAATGAGTAATTTATGCTTTGCAATAAAATCAGGTTAATTCTAACACAAATTATCTAGGCACACTCATAACAGCCTTCCAACTTCAAGTTCTCACACTATTGCAGTATTCAATCAGCAATAGAAGCTTTAGTCAGATTCATAAATGTACTACTAAATGACAGAATCCAGCTTCACTTTCAGATGTATAAGCAAGCAATGAAAGCAAAATGATATCATACTTTACAAGGTTATTTTACTGGCAGCAACAACACTATATGAACAAGAAATCTAAAGAACAGAAACATGCAGATCTTCAGCTGCAGCACTTCCAATCAGACAATACACACAACAAAAAGCAGTAAAATGGAGCTGTTTAAAGCCACCAGTACCTGTAAGCTGTCTCTCCTCTGYACAACACAGCTATTTCCAGAGGCAAAAGACACAACAAATAGCAAATCCTTGCTACTGGTTACAGCTGGTTTTACRGAACATGGCTTTTCAAAAGGAAGCTCACAAACACCTTTAGGGACACCATTTTGGAACCAAATAAGCTGGTTCTTGTGSGTAACGGCAACAAGTGATATTCGGAGCTGTTTTTTCAATCTCTCGCTCTTGCAGATGTACACAGAGGATACCACTTTGCTGTAAGCATGAGGCATGAAACACGTGCTGGTCAGCATTTTTTGTGTTTGAATTGCGTATCCAAAGAACTCACTACCCCAGATGGCTCTGTCTGAAACAGAAAATCCATCTGCATCTTCAGTCTCTGGCAGGCAAGCTGTTCTTATCCCTAAGACAACAGTGCCTTCACCTACAATTTCACCTGTCCACACTATAGAAGAAAGCAGAACAGGGGCACTTTGAACCACGCAGGTGTTGGAAGAAATATAGAACAGCTTGTTGGAATGTCTCCACAACACTGATGGGCCAGCAAACAACCTGATGTCTTCTTTCAGCTCATAATCCAATTTAAAATAAAAGGATGGCTCAAATTGATTTGAACTGTGAAGCAACAATAAAAAGTATTTGACATTGTTCCGTTTTTTCTTCTTCATGAAAATGCAGGGAAGAATAATGCCTGTTCTGGAATCTCTTGTGCAGCTACAACAAATCATTTCAATTTTTGAGTGACTGGCAAGCATGGTGAATACTCCAGAAGACTTCTGAACGAACAGCTTAGCATCTCTGTTGAACACCATCCTTCTGACACATAAATTCATTGTTTTATCGTCTKCTTCCTCTGCATGCTTTGGTTTTGACAGCTGAAATACAAGGACTTCACCATTGTAGGACAAAAATTGATCTTGGTCACTCAAAAGCATCTTGATTTATCCTTATGCATAGTCCTCTACAAGAAAACCATACATGTCCCCATTTTTGTCAGGCTTATTTCTTTGTGAAAATATTAACCTTTTCTGGACATTTTCCATCTACAAATGCAAATAAGAAAAAAAAAAATTAAATTGTTTTGGGACTAGCTGAACTGATCCTTAAGAATAAGAAAAGCTATGYGTTGCAAAGCAATAACATAGGAAAAATTGAGAACGAAGCCAGTAGGTGCTTTAATCTCACAGATTAATAATGAAGCAACTTTGTACTGAGAGATTTAAGTAACAGAAACATTTCAGAACCATTTCTTTACCAAAGTATGAATTCTCTGGTTATCAACGTCTGCACAGCATAATATATAGAAACCAAACCACACACAATTCGTCTGAGGGCATTGAAGGTATACTGAAGGTATAAAATATACTGAGCAGACTGGAAAGTAACGGTGCTTTGAATTCTCAAATAAAAGAGCCTTCTCTAGGGCATAGTATTTACTAATAACTATAATTAATTTTTGGTTAAAATTATAAGGCCTCGAAGGGGAAAGTTCTCTGAAGAAACATCCAGTCACTTTGCGGCCAAGCAGGCTCCCTCCCTCTCTCTCTCGTCGCCCAGAGAAGGTCCCCGGGACCCCGAGAGAACCGCAGCCGCCTCACCGAGCTCCACTCATCTTGCGGGGTCCGCAGCGATGCCCCTCGCCYGGCTCAGGCGGCGTTTCTGCCCTCCCCACCCGGGCCCCGAGAGCTCCCGCAGAGACACCGGGCGCAGAGACACCGGGAAGCGACCACGGGCTCCGGGCCGGCGGGGCCTCTCCGGGCTGCTCGGGGCCGTCAGCGGCGGGGCCTCTCCGGGCTGCTCGGGGCCGTCACCGTTACCAGCGGGGCGGTGCCGCGGTTCCCGGCTGCGCGGGCGGGCGCTCCGAAGCTCCCGCCGCAGGGAGCATGACGGGAGCGGGGCGGGGGCGGGGCCACGGTTGGGGGCGGGGCCTGCACCTTCAGGTCTGCCCTGAAGCCCCGCCCCCTGGCGGAGTCACGCGCCGCTCCATCCCCTTTTCCCGCCGCSCCTCGCGCTGCCGGAGCCGCCTCAGTGCGGGCGGCGCGGGCGGACCCGCTGGATCATGGCTGAGGTGAGTCCCTGCTTCCCTGCCCCTTCGCTGCTGCCCTCCTGTCCCTCTCTCAGCCGCGGCCCGCTGCCGCTCTGGGGATGGTGGTTTGGCGGGACGGATAGCCGGGCCCTGCTGTACAGGTGAAGGGCCGGGGCTGTCTGGGGCCCCGGCCTTTCCTTTCACGGCCCTCCTGTTCCTTGTTTCCTTTCAGCAGCAACAGGATAAAGCGGCGCTGATAAGTGAGGTCCGGCGGCGTTTCGAGGCGGAGTACCTGGCAGGTGAGCTGGGAGTGGTGGATGCGGGCTCTGGGGCTTGTCCGCTGTCGCTTTTTCTCTGTCGGCACCAGGTATCGCGCTTTACTACGTGTGGGAGCGTCTGTGCCCTCTTACAGAATCGACTGGATTAGAAAAGGCCTCTGAGATCATGTTCATTGACTGAACACCTGTCAGCCAGACCACGGCACTGAGTGTCACGTCCAGTCTTTCCTGAAACACCTSCAGGGACGCGCGGCCTATTCAAATATCTAATCACTCTCGCTGTTGAGAATCTCTTCCTAATGTCCAACCTAATTTTCCCCCGGTTCACTTAAGGTGTGAAGCTACGGAAGGATGCGATGTACAGCAGGTTTCTTAGCTGGCTCTCGGTGCTCTCTGCCTGCGGGGTCGCTGTTTCGGGCTGCAGGATGTGTTGGGGCAAAGCCCTGGGTTCTTCTCTCTTGCAGTTGTGTTTGGTTGGCTGGAGAGTCAGGTTTGGTGCATTGCTGTGCTTGGAGCTCTCTGGGCATGAAACATGGTGGGAAAGGGAGGCATTCTGTCCTCGCCGAGTTTGTCAAAGGAAGAGTTGTTTTTCTGGAGTAACTTGCACTTGAAATTCATGCAGGCCATAATTAAGATCATTGCTGCATGTCCAACTCGATTCTTGAGTGCAGGTGCATTTAAACTTGAATGCAGGTGCATTTAAACTTGTAAATGAAGGCCAGGAAATGCTGGGGATGCCTAGGGGAGAGGGAAGACTAGCATAGTCTAGTGTGATTTGTATTGCTTATGTTGGAGGAATGTAGAGTATGCTAACAACTGGAGTAAGCAGTACATTTCATTATGACTATCTGGAGACTTTCTGTTAAACACGTGCTTCTATGCAATTTTAAATGCAAATACAGTAAAATCCAGTAGTTGTGTTGCCTGCGTCTTGTTTAATATGAGGCCCACTTCTGCTAACAAATGCCTTTCTTTGATGTTTCTGRTCAGAATTATTGAGGTTACCTAGCTATCACTTTTATGTAAGGGTTATGTGCTTCTATGACTTATTTGTAGTGGGCTAGAGCATTCTTTCGGAAAACTTTCAAGATCTTGAGGGTGGTATAGCTTTATTGCCTATGGTTACTGTGCTGACTTCCATAAAGGAGACTACTTGGACCTTGGTTAAAGATAACCTTTTTTTCTGATGACAAAATTATTAGAAAGTCTTGAAGTAGAGAGAGCTTATTCTACMATTTGGTGTTTCTAAGTGAATAAGGATATACTTGTGAAGCTCAGGCCCAAAAGCGTGGAGGACCATCTTAAATTCTAAAGTTTTTTGCCTCTTAAAGTTTTCAATTAGTGTATGTTTTCATATGGTAGGAGATTCAACTTGCTTTGTATTCTATTATCTCAGAGTCACACTCAGAAATAATTACTTCAGAAAGCCTAGAACTGGTCTGGGACAGTAGCTGTGGAAAAGGAGTGTTACTCTTTCAGTTGATCTATCTCTTAAAATCCCGTAATTCCACAAGTTTCTCTARTTGTAATGACACCTCTGTTGGGCTGGTTGATACAGCCATTAAAATAATTGAGTACTGTTGCAAGGTAAGATGTAATCCTATTGGCAGTATTTTGAACGTTTTCTCCRTAAGCCCATTTTTGGGTCAAGGTTTAGGGCTCTTGGCGCTTTCAGAAAATAAGATTAAGACTTTTTTGAGTTTGTGTTCTTAAGACTCTGCCACAAGCAAATTAATGTTCTCATGACCACATTCTAGAGTGTGAAACACAGGACTTTAGTTTTGTATTGGTCTGTCAGCCTTTACTTTGTATGTTCTAAAATGAATTCTTTTATGCTTCCTARTCAAAAGAAATGTGGGGGTGCATGTATTAAGACACCCTCAAACCTGTGACTTTGGGATGTAAAAGTACAGATGATTGCTTCACACCCAGCAATTTTGGTCTGCTTTCAAAACTAAGGGCACTGTTAGGCTACACTTGAGAATCTGATCCTTTCTGTGAAGTTTAATGTGGTCATAGAATCGTGGGCCTCTACAGAGCAAACTTTATTGCATTTACAGGTGAACTGCAGGTGTTAGAGAAAAGTTTTCAGGCAATTTTGTTTCTGGAGTTTGTGGCTGCCACTTTTTTTTTTCCCTGTGAGGAAAACAGTGTAACTGGTTATTCTAGAAACTTGGTAATTCTGATCACCAAAGATGAAGTGGTTCTTCCATATTCTGTAACTCACAGTTACTGGTTTCCCTTCTGCCCCTCCTCATCCAGGAAGCATTAGTAATGGTTACAAATGTTGTGATGGCCTTACAGTAACATTTATTTTTGTTATTAAATGAAAATTAGAGAGTCTTTGAAATCCTGCTTTTTCCTTGAAATTGTTTATTGGCAGAATACAATTTTTAGATGAAGTAGAATCTACAAAAATATTATATAGCTGCTTCACAAAATTCTAATATCCCAATATGTATTGTAATAATTATTATTATTGTAATGATATGCTGTGGTCTTGATAATTTTCAAGGTAGGATAGGAAAAGTTCTGTTCAGCAACTGAAAGCACCATAAATTTGTTTTTTTTTTTGATTATGCATTTATGTGTTTAGTTTCATTTAAGTGACCAAATCAGAAAATGCTTTAAATGTCAGATACAGTGGGAAAGATAAAGTGTCAGAGAACCTTACTGTCTTATTTCCCCAAAGTTTGCAAGAGAACTTTCTTGCTGAGGTTGTTTGGCARAGTTGGCCTTTGAAGGGTTGTAGGAGGAAAGCTTGGCCACTGTTGGATCTTACAGGCAAAACGGTGTTTAATATTGAGTGAGACCTTGTGGTGATTTTTTTTTTTCTCTTTGGGTAGCTTTCTAGCTGRGTTCCAAAGACAATGTCAGTTCTTGCGAGGAATGTATGTCTCAATAATGAAACCCTTGCATTTCAAAGGTATATTTCCAATAGTGGAAAGGCCCTGTTAGTCCAGTAGACTGGCAAATACTGTCTGATGTAGTAGGCAAACAGCACTTTGTCTCCACTGGTTTTCGGCCTAATTTTTGTTTTGCCTGTTTGGATTCTTTGTGAGAGTTGGTGATGTAAATGATTTTGCTGGTGAAAGGAACAATGAAAACAAAAGACTTCTTTTCTAGTACTGACTGGCACTAACAATGTTTTCTAGCAAACAATCATGTCTTTTTCTATAGTGAATTTCCATTCCTTAGAGGATTTCTAAAATTAGCTTTTATTTCTGGGCTATTACTTTCTATTTTAATGTTACAGTGGAAATTATTTATAATCAAGTCTTGTTAGATTTTTTCAGTAAACCAGTTTTCATCACATTTTCTTTTTTTATGTTTATCAATCCTAATTGCCTGTATTTGCTGGCCTTCCTCATTTACATCCTTTTCCTTCTCCTTTAGGCAAAGCTTAAGTTTTGAAAAAGATTTTGCAAGAGCAGTTTCCCATCTGTCCAGTATAAAGGATTAAATTAAATTTCATCATGACCTYCTTTAAGCCAGTAGCAAAGGTGTTTTGTTAATCACCTGGGCTGATTGTTTTGTTAATGGGCTGATTGCAAATAAAATTTTAGACATATGGGGCACCCTGAAAAAAAATGGTAAGAAGACTTAAAGTAATGTTTTGTATACCTGCATATGYCTTTTTATACTCTGGAAAATCTGTTTTCCCTGGTTCTTGGCTTTCAGGCTGAGRATGGGGGAAGGGTAAGATAGAAAACATACTTTCATAAAAAGCTCTGTAATACTAATGATTGAACTTTCTGTTGAAAGTAGTCTTTATTTTCACTGAGAGTGTTTAGCTTTGCTAAAAGTTTGTTTATCTCACTTTGTGGAGGCAGATATTTTATTTGTTTATTGCTGCTTGAAGTTACTGAAATAATTCCTTATTGGATGGAAATAGTGGTGGGTTTTTTCTTCATCCTTGTCCCTTTATGGCTACTGACCTTCTTAAACTGTTTTTAGTCTTGCTGATTTTCTCATCTAGCAACTKGAGGGGCACATATCTGAATTGTTATAGTACTTAGCTTTATGTTTGGCATCAACAGCTAATTAAAATGGGTTTCCTCTTTGTAGCTGAAGTCAGAGAAATAATTGTGACCATTTGAGACTGATTTCTTGATTGAAATGTTTTAAGACAGTAGTTAAATTGATCTCTTTGTGTAATGTAACACTTCACATACTTTTCTAAATTGGTTTTTTTCTCTAATTTGCACAATGAAGCTTTTAGGGTTTTTTCTCAACTCAAAGGCATGCAATTGCTGTCCCTACTTTATGTATGGCTTGTTCTGTAACACGGCTAGATAAGAGTTTGTTCTGAAGGAAGGGGTCATTCTGATTTTTAGTTCTGAACTTCTCTGGATTATTTTAGTGTGGGACTTAGATGTGCCACTTGGTTTTGATTCCTGTAGTTATTCTTCTATCATGGAATGGGTCAGGTTGGATGYAGTGGCTTGTCTGGTCCTGCCTGCTCAAGCAGGGTCATCCCAGAGCACAGGGCGCCGTTCTGCA